TGCAGTATACAAACAGGATAAAAATTCTTAAAAAACTTTTAAAAAATTATTCTTCAATAAAAAGCGCGAGACTAAAACAGTTTCCATAGATAAGAAAAGTCAAAAAATTGATAGTTTATTAACTTAAGAAGGGTCCACCCGAGCAGCTCCCTAGCGCCTTTGGGATTTGAAAACTGCATTGGGGCCCTGATTGGACCCTGAACATAATGAAAAACATTGAAACTTAAGCATAAGGTCAAGTTCGAGCCGAAATAGACAAAGTGCTTTAAAATTTATGTTATGACGCGTCGTAAATAATAAGCAGTCAGATATTTCTTAATTTGAGCAATATTTGATGGTTTTTATCGCCTCCTTAGTCCTCTCTGTCTTCGATTGCAAAATTACTTTTGACGTCCAGCATAGTCTTTAAGTTAGCCGAAAAATAATGTGACACTTTGTTCTGAAACAGCATTTTGCACCCTCTAACTATGTCAACTATCATTAATTTGTAGTATTTTAAACTTGCCGCCTGCATTTAGATTTCTATAAACTTCGAGTGACTTTTGTCAAACGTTATTTTAAGGCGAAAAGCCGTCTTAACGTCAGGGCCGGATTTACCCACTTGCCGCCCATGGGCCACCTGTATTTTGCCGCCCCCTTCTCATTCGCTTTGAAACATCTATAAAAACCATCAAGTGAACGCGCCGGAGGGATAGGGCTGTATAAGACGCGTTTACCTGTGTTGGACACATTTTTTGCGAAAGCCCTGTCAACACTATTAGCAAAAATTCACGGAACTTGGCGCGAAAGTTAAGTTCCGTAAACCTATCTCTGTGTGGACAAGGCCCTCCATTTATAAGAAATGAACGAACAAATTATGACAGAACAAACATAAATGTGGTTTAATAATTTAAACTTCCACCGCCGCCGCGCAGCTCTGATCGCACTATGTTTGGGACGATGCGTGAAGTATTTCCTCAGTTTTGTAGGCGCAATGCGTTTCACGCCGACCGCTGCCGACCGCACTGTCTTTGACGCTATGCGTGAAGTATTCATGCAGTCTTGTAGGCGCTAATATGTGTTACATGCCGAGACCGCCACGCCGAGGGCTTCTCATTTTCATCTCAAGTCCTCGTCATCATTGCTATTTGCGCCGCGCCGCTCCAGGGCAAATTGCGTGTTTGATTTCTCTAATAACTCGACTAATTAAAGGTGCTGTCTCTTGCACCACCGCTAAACGATAAAATTAAAAATTACTATACTCTCAGGAAATGAAAGATTTTGTCGCCTCTTTTCGTATTCAATTTTTTTTATACCTTCATTTAAAAAAATTGCAAAATTTGCCCCCCCTAAATTTGCCGCGATGGGCCACGGACCATGTGGGCACCCCCTAAATCCGGCCCTGCTTAACGTTTAACCTTTTTTAGTGGAAAAATAGGGTAAGTTTCTCCATTGGAAGAATTGAAAGTACCGAGCATGCAATCGAATTTAGCTTTTGTTACCTTGTTCTCTTTGTCAAGGTATTCCTTGTAAGATTTTTCACTGAATGGAGACTTGATTTCGAGCACGTGGGTGTCATTGATGCCGTCTGGCGAGGCTCCCAAAATCGGGTAAGCCCCAGATAAAAACAATCCACACTTTTTAAAAGGCATCTTCATTTTATTCTCCACCAGTTCTACCACCTGCCAAAAAATTTAGGAATTATATTTTCTTCTGGTCTTTTCTGAGATCCTTCTAGTCATAATACGTACATAAAAAAGTATAAAATGGCTGAATGCGGCTGAAAATCCCTGAAAAATATTTCAAAGAGATGACAGGAGTGAGGCATTTTCATCTCACGGAAAGTTCGTAACGTCTCATTTTAGACGAGGAACTTTTTGATTGGATTTTTTCTCTCTATCCTTGTCAAAAATAAGTTGGCACTACTTTCCCTGCCTTCCACTTTTAGAGACATTGACATTTACCGAAGCCAGTAAATAACGGTTTCCACTCCCTCATACTTTGATAATAACCACAAAAAAGTATCGAGAGATTTTATTTTTAGCCTCTGTCGAATCGCAATTACGTTTTAAAAAGTTTTCCATTGGAGATGTATGGTCCAACATTTTTTATGAAGGGAAGAGAGCTGAAGGTAAAACATTTCTGAAAAGCATAGCAAATGACCTTTTTTGAGGGCGAATTGCCGCGGACCTTCTCTCTCCCCTGCCTCCAATGATGAGCTAACCTCATATTTCCTCTCAAAATTCTTTGCCTCTTCTTACTGGTACCAGATGTACCATCTTACACCTTTAAAGTAACACCAGAGATGGATCAAACACCACCCTCTTGTTTCCATGATTACAATTTTTCCTGGTAGTTATTATTCATAAACCGAAAAAAAAAAATTCCGGCCGTGGAAGCCGTGCTTACGGACTATATCGGTGGTGAAACTGCAAAAATGCGTATATCGGTTGCGGTGTTTGAAAATCTCCGCTCCTATTTTATTTTTTAAAAGGAAACCGAACCAACATCGTGGCTTGAAATTTTCACAGAATATTCTTCACCTAGAGACGAAAAATATCCGAAGTGCTCAATAAATGATGTTAAGTGGTTTTCCATATGAAAAATAAAGTATGGCAGGAAGTCTGCAACGCCGCAAACCGATATACGCATTTCTGCAGTTTCACCATCGATTTATAGACATACCGTTCGCGTTCCGGGTTCAGAGGCCAAAAGTTCCGGGCGTAGCACCCGGAGCAATCGAAGTTACAGCTCCAGCACCCGGAACTTTCAGCTTCTGAGCCCGGGACGGACGAAATGTCTATATAGCCCGTAACTTTTTTTCAGCGTACCTCATGTTCTTCCAACATATAACTCTGCATGACAGCAAATGATCATACCTGTTCTTCGAGGCGATGACCGCGCATGGTGGCTTCGTTTCCGGAAAACCAGGAATTGAGCCCAACGATGCTCTTGGTCAGGTAGCCGGATGGCGTGCGACAGTTGGCGACAGCGTAAAGGTTCGATGCGGTGATGCGGCCGAACTTAAGCTTGAACCAGAGTGAGCTCTCACCCTGGTTACGAGTCTCCTTCTCCATCTCTTGGCAGATGCTCGGGGTCATGCTCTCGGCGCAGAACCGTAAAAAAGCGTCCGCGTCGATCGGCTTCGTCCGCGGCAGGGCTTGGAACTTGAACATGAGGGCATGGACCATGGCTCTCAGGTCCTCCGATGGAAACTCTTGAGCAACAGCTGGATCGTTCATTAATTCCAACACTCCTGCGCCTGCTATAGCTGTATCCGATTTTGCCCCTTTCTTCTCTCGCTCTAGAAGACTACCTACTCCTTTCATATCGTCCGACGATCCAGATGAACTCACGAGGCTTGGATGTCTAGACCCACGTGAAAGGACTTCTTTGGAAATGAAGTCACATTGCACCGACCTCTCTTTCAAAATGTCCGTATTATTGCTCTTAGCAACCCCTTGTTTATGTAAATCAACTGAATTTCTATCCTCTTGGGTTCTATAATAACGATCGAGGCGTTCCCAATCTAATGGTCCGTTGCTGTCGCACTCATCGTCGTCATGCAGGATCTCAAGGCTTGAACAGGAGGCCCCGAACCCCTGCCAGTCTGAAGGATCCTCCTCATTGAACTCCAATTCTGGGTCTAACTCGTGGGATAAACGGTAGTCTCCAAAAGATTGACACTCACATGGTTTCCACTCACCATCCTCTTGTACCTCTTCTACATCTCCGCAATAATTTCCAAAGCCTAGCCAGCTCGAATACTCCCGGGGTCGATTCTCAGCATCACCCTGATTGTAGACTTTATCTAGATTTAGATGGATTGTGTGGTAATTACCGAGGCATCCACATACCCATTCTAGAGGTATGTTAAAGTCACACTCATCATCATCGTGCATAGTCTCCGGGCTCGAGTGGTTGTCTCCGAACCCTTGCCAGTCTGGAGGTTCTTCCTCAATCGATTCCGATTGAAGATCCACCTCGTGGGATGTGTGGTAGTCACCAAAAGATTGACAATCACGTGGTCTCCATCCATCCTCGTCTAGTGATTCCTCTATGTCCCCGCAATAATTTCCAAACCCATTCCAATTTGAAGGTTCTTGAGATTGGTTGGAGTAAGTCCAGCCATTTTCATACTTTTTCATGTTAAGTTCCGCTGAAAACTCGTCGTTTAAAGGATCCGGGAAAACACAAGTTTTGAGCATCCAAAACTCATTAATTTTTTGAGGTTTTGGTCTTCCAGGCACCAGATACTCCTCTGACTGTGCATATTTTGCAGTGCAATCGTCAAAAACTTGTCCCACATTCAGTGTGCCCGAGTGATATTTTTGATGCTTTGGTCCCATCAAAATAACAGATTGCCAAAATTGATTCGGTGCGGATCGTCTGATACTCCAATCCGAAAGTAGGTTTTTTTTGGATTCTGAAAAAATGGAAACACTTGTTCAGTTTGAATGATAGCCCCCTCTAATCAAAAAGCCAGGGGATGGGCAGTTTTGCACATTCAATAGAAATTGCAGATAAAAGTCACGTAAACCCCCCATTGAATGCTCACAATGCTGACCATGAGCGTAAAGTTGTTTCAAAAATCGTTCTGGAAAATGTTGATGCTATCCAAAGTCACTCACCCGGTGAGATGTGTTCTAACCGGGATCTTGCTTAGATATGATCTCAAATCCTTGGGTACCGCGACTATTTTTTTAGGTTTATATGAACCTCTTTGAAACTGATTTTACTCAATACGTGGTTTTTTGGCGTCTGGAGGGAAAATGGAGAGTAAATAGACGATAAAATAAATTTTCTAACGAAAGTTTTATCTTCTTTGCATAAGAGTCGATCAATATTTGATGTAAATGACGACTAAGATATGCCCAAATTAAAAAATGAATTCGATTATATCAAAAATTTTACCCATAGCACTCGAGTATAGTTTCGATCGAGTTGTATGCTGTCGTGCTAAGGAAGAACGCCGTATGAACATTCGAGAGTTGCCAAATTTCCCTCGATAAAATATACTTTTGCGAGGCAAGCTAAGAATATTTTTCCTTGAAATTTTCAGGACTTTTCGGTGGAATTGCGAGAAAAATTGGTTCAGGACATTTTGTCAACGATATTTTGTCCGCGCACCTTTTTTGTCCAGTAGTTTACGCTCACACGTAAAATAAGCAACGGTGACTTGGTTCAAGCGCTATATTTTAGTCGGTATGTAAAATTATATTGACAATATGGAAATGAGAAATTGAGAGAGAAGGAGGTATTGTTATGGTTGCTCATTTTCTAAATGAGATGTTATTACTTTCTCCTTTTGAACATCTTTTTAAATTGTCATTGGCGAATATTTGGTTTTATTTTTATCCTTAAAATATTCGATGTACAATATACCTTATATGTGTATAGGTACTTGTTTTTTTATTTTTTTAATTTTTTCTTTACGAAATTATTACTTCATTTTGAAAACATTTATATTTTTAAAACGTGACAAATATTTTCCAAGCGACATTAATCTCAATAAGCCGCAGTTGTGCCGACAGAAACTGCAAAACTGAATAACAGAGGAAAAAAACCAAGAGGCACGCAATCTTTAGTTTTAACCCATTTGTACATCGATCTTTTAGAGTCAAATACGTCAAATTTTGAGCGTTTGGTTGCGCGTACACCTCGCTGCGGCACAATAAAAGCACAAAATGTTAAAGAAAAAATTAAAGTGCTTTGGAAATCATTAAATTTCACACGGAACCACCAATATTTAAAAGACACACATTATATTATTATTCTCCTTTGATACATTGATACATACTTTTTCCCCACCAATTTAAATGAGAATAATCAATGCAGAGTGTGCAAACATTTCAAAATCCTGAGTTAAAAAACGCTGACTATGCGAGTATAAATAGTAAAGCCTAAGAGAGCGGAGCGGCGCGTGCTGCCAGCGCGAGAGGCTCACTGGCACCTACAAACCTAAGTGGATACTTCACGCATTGCACAATGCTTGAAGTATCCACTTAGGTTTGTAGGCGCCAATGCGCGTCTCGCGCTGGCCGCCCGCCCACCGTGCAGCGGCGCCTGAAGCAACTATTTCACAACAGAGGTGTTGCACAGTATTATACGAAATTGAACGTATTAAGAATAACAGGCATCCCTTAAAAGTACAGATCTTTCCTCGCAGAATAAATCAAGATACCTATCGTACACTTGAAAAATCTAAGAGCCTTTAACTGAGGCAAATATAGAGGTTTATCCGGTTCAGGTATAACAAGGTAGGGAAATGTTGAAAGATATTTAAGTCCTGTTACACCAAAGATGTGTAGAGAGTTTTAGTGAATTTTGTCTCATGGAATTGACGCTCCCCTATTTTTACCAAAACTCTCAACTATATATTATTCTCCGTTGGACCAAACAGACAAAACAAAAAAAAAAAACAAGTAAACCCTCATTCTTCCAAGACATTTTACATTTTCATCCAAAAACGTCGTGAGCAATTGTCGTTTGTATTTACATGTGGGCCAATTAACTTTGGGTCTCAACTGGCACGTGGACCAAAACTCCCGTGCCGAAAAAACGCGTGGACGTAAATTACTGGGAAAAACAGGTGCGCGGACAGTTTTCTGATCACGCATCCGAAAAGTTGAGGTCTAGCCGCCGAAGTTCGGGTCAGACATCGAGGCACTTCTATATATGTATGCACCGGAGTACTTCAGATGTGTGACCCGAACCCTTCGGTATGTATCGAAGTACTTCAGATGTCTGACCCGAACTTCGGTCGCTGGACCTCAAGTTTTAAGATATGTGATCCGAAAGCTTCAGAGATCCATATGACTTCAACTTCGGGTCCCACGCACGAAGTTTCTTCCTCCGTGTGGTAAATAAAAGGAAAACAATGATATGAACAAAGAACAACATTTCTGTCACTGTCATTGGATAAACTACATCTTAATTATAGTAAACGCAAATAAACAAACACGGCACTTAACATGGAATACATGTATACATACAGATCATTCATAGACAAACAAAGTAAAAAGGAAGTAAAAACAGTCGTGCATAAGTGTCAGGAATCCCCAAAGCCCACAAAGTCTTGAGAGTAGAAATGCGTCCGAGGTTTTTGAGATCACAGTCTTCGGAATTTTTGTTTTTTATATGGTTAACTTGTTTTTCGAAGTTCATAGCCATGGCCTAAGGACGTCACGTAAAACAGGTATCATGAGCCTGGTAAACACAAAACCAACATTTTTAACATTCATGATTGAGCAAATTTTACAAAACATTGATTGGTTGCTCAGAAAATCACAGACAGTTTTGAGATGGTTCCATGCAAGATCCGGGATTAGATTCTACATGCCTCTGTGGGGATAGAACCTTGAAGAACACATTGTTGAGAAATACAATTTTTATGATTATTATTAACATTTGGATCCTATCGCAATCCAAAAAATTTCCGTATTCAGGCACTTATAAAAATCTTAACTTGTAAGGCAAGGAAAGCATTGCTCGAATCCATTTTAAAATAGGTACATTAGAGTACTAATTTGGTGTTGAAATATCCTCTCAGATTTTTTCATTCATTCATCCTTTCTCTATTGTAAGAAATTAATGCCCAATTTTTGTCGCCACATGAAGTTATTCATAAAGTGACTTGTGGCTGAATATTTACTGTGTATAGTTAAAAGTTCACATTATCATAAACGAACGAATTCATAGGATAGCTGCAAAATAAAATCTTTGAAAACTTATGAGGAAACACGGAGCCGTAAACGGGAGTTTACACCTTAAATAGTTCGCGCAAAAATAGCCTTCATAGTGGGGGACTGAGGTGTATGTTTGGTTGCAGAGTCACCTCATCCCCTTTCATCGTCCAAATTCCGCCATGAATTGTGCTACGTACTTTTGATACATAAACATTGGTTTCAAACACTGAAAAAGACAAAAACTTTGGCCATGGAAGCCGTACTTACGGGCAGTATAGACTTACCGTCTGTTTCGGGCTCAGAGGCTGAAAGTTGTAGTTGAAAGGTGTAGCACCCGTAGCAGTCGAAGCTACAGCTCCAGCACCCGGAACTGTCGGCCTCTGAGCCCGAAACGGACGGTACATCTACATAGCCCGTAACCTTTCCCCAGTGTAGGAAATCACGAGAGCTCCAATAATGTGAACAGAATTCAAAAGAATAATTAACATCTGAGAATATAAATCTTCAAATTACATACCTGCCAGACTAGTATTCCGTCCTTGAAGAGATAACATTTGAGGCATTTTGTGACAAGTGAGCAAAGCTTTGTACGCCTGCCGGTACTGTTTGTTCATGATCACATAAATTATCGGATTTATGCACGCCGACATGTACAGCAGCAGGTAAGTTAAAATATGGTAACCTAGACAGAGAATTTGTAAGTGAGTGTATACAATATTTTCACATTTTGTACCTCTTATGCACTATACTTTGTTTATCAGCATCTCATAAAGCCGCAAAAAAACAGAGAACATATACACATCTTCTGTAAGTCACAGGAAATTAGCGTTCGCATGCAATTTGCAAGCCTCCGTTGGACAAATAGAAAAACCTAAAATTCCAAAACAAAGTCACACGATTAAAGTACTAATTGGTTTGCTTTTAATAAGAATATACACTTTTTCCTCTATAAAATACGGTATCAGGTAAATTGAGGCGAACGTGCAGTAAAAACCATGACCCTCATTGAGTTTGGATCGGATAGGCAACTAAACTAACTCCGTGACAAAGCGTGGAGTATCACAAAAATTAAAGGCACTCCAAGCCAAGATAGTGCCCCTGAAGGCTATGCCCCATCCCCATCAAACCTTCATGATACCGATGCCCAATACTGAAACTATATGTAAGCCGCTTGCAAATTCCCTGTGATTGCCAACTGCCTGCGACGTATATACATCTGACAACAACGCTAGGAAATTACGGTGCATCTTTTCTATCAATAAATTGATAGTGCCGCTAATCGTATGATAAACTGAAATATCTACAATTAAAATGAGGACTACATAATTTTATGAAGAGTTTGACTCCAACACTCTACGTTTGGTACATTTTGATCATCCCACTATTGTCTAATAATTTTTTAAAGCAAAGCCTTCCTATTTGGCCTTTACTTGATCTAAATTTACAGTCTTGCGATAATGTGAAGAACAGTTGCGTGGCAAGCTTTACGATGCATCGATTGTATCCATTTAAATCTATGGAAATAGATCGATAAACAATAATAGGCAATTCCTTACTACAGCTTCAAAGGGGGAAAAATCGAAATAGATCATTAACGCCTCGCAACTGGTGAAGAATACAGACGATGATAAAACTATTTTGACCCGTAAAATTAGATATTCCCTAATGGTTTAAAGAGGGCTAACCACGATAAGTCAATGGCATCCATTTCTTTGAAACTTTTAGGATATTTTCCAGATTTTTTTTTTTTTTTTTTTTTTTTTTTTTTTTTTTTTTTTTTGGAAATCCTGAATGACAAAGAAATCTCGTTTTGAATGGAATCTGTTTGTAACAATGTAATCTGTACAATGACCGACAATGTGATCTGTTTGTAACAATTTATTTGATGGGCTCTAATGACGTAATTAAGTGCATGGGATAGACGGCGTTTGCTGACTGTGAATTGAATTACATTTTGCAATAAGGAACCACTATCTCTGGCTCTCCCATAAAGGCACATATCTGCGTAGGGCATGCAATGGTATGTATCGACGGTGAAACTACCAAACCACGTATCTCGTTTGCGGTGTTTAAAAATCTACGCTCACATTTTATTTTTTTGAAGTAGACCAAATCAATATCATTCCTTGAAATTTTCACAGAATTTTTTCCGCACGAAGAGGAAAAATCACAGAAATTTTCAAGACTGGACGTTAAGTAGTTTTTCATTTAAAAAATAAAGTATGACAGGAAGTCTGCGACGTCGCAAACCGAGATACGTGGTTTGGTAGTTTCACCGTCGGTATGTTGTTTCTAAAATGGGCTAGAAATAGTGGTTCCTTATTGCAAAAAATTTGCATTCGGGCTATTGTGTCTCTCGCTCTCTCATCACCTATTGCAAAATGTTATCCAATTCAGCTTCAGGCATCACCTTGTTGCGTCAACTCGACTGTTCGCTTTTGATCACCTTTTACTCCCCCTAGTAAATAATTTTATGCACATTTTAATGAATTTTTTAGTTTTTCCGCAAAATTTCACGATGAAAAACCATCTTACAACCCTGCAATTCTCAGCCAATGCCGCCCATTTGCTATTCACATAGAACCAAGTCTTGTTGCAGAATGTGGTGTACGCCTTCATTCTGCCGTTTCGGCAGAAACTAACTCTATGGCTACACTATAGCGATCAGCGAATCATGCTGATACTTACTTGGATAAAATATTTTACTGTCGGCTATTTTAATGATGGTAATTGGAAGGTAGCAGACTAGGAACGAGAGGAAAATCGTTAACACCATTTTTGTAATCCGCCATTCATTTCGTTTCAACTTCACTTCTTTCTGCTCTTTTCCTTTTCGAGACAATTTTGTATTAGTAGCCGCATGTCTCCGCATTCTCGTGTCAGATCTGCAACAATGATCGTAAAGAGATTGGATGATACCCATGAAGTTTTTTGCTGTTCAGTGTTAGTTAGCCAAAATTGCAGACGCTTTATATTGACTCAATACAAGATGAAATGCGGCAATGCTTTCTCCTAAGCAGGCTAATGATTTTGAAGGTGAATGGGCTCATGCAAAAATTTATTTTACGTTTAGTAATAATGCGCTATCAAAATTACTATGACTTTTGGGCTGAGTCAAAGAGATGTGTCGGGCTAATTTCCATGAATTTTTGCAAACGGCAGGTAATAATCTCCATATCGTATATGACCGCGCATACGGTAAAAGGGACCTTAGTCCCTATAAACTCGAAATTGAGTACCCAATTGATACTAGGATATAGAGGAGTGTTCTGCAAAATTTGTTGGGGGAAAAACGCGAAAAATTGTCAGAACAAACAGGGATTATGACTGTGCGGATTCTATGGTGTAAATGCGTAATTTAAATTCTTTTTTGCTATGTTCGGGGTAGGAAATTGCTGGATCATACGGCAGCTTTACACCCTCTATTTACTAAAACGTAAACTTTTTTCCAGGATTTTGAATGCTTCATGCTAAAATCTCAAACTCTGAGTTTTCCACCAAATTCAACCAAACCGTGAACATGTTATCTTAGTGGGCTCACCTTTTCCGTCACTCTCCCTGTGGACCGTCGCGTCGCATGTGCTCTCGCTACGTTCAAGTTTTTAAGTCATGACTTCGCTTTCCTTCTGTAATGTGGCAAACCTCAGGTGTACCGAACCACACCTCACACAGGTCTTGAAGCAAAAAAATGCGACAAAACGTACCCAAAAACGGTTTGCAAGGGGTGAGTCTATGATACGTGTGGATTTGAAATGGCGAAAAATCACAATTTTGACTGATCCTAATTTCGAGATATCGCAATTTGAAATTTCCATGGTGAATGCAAGTTTTCCACAGATTTTGTTCCGCTTTTTATCCATTTGTCCATTGAATCGGCGTTGATCGGTTCATGTTTTTATTTTTCGTTCGACTCATGTCGATCATACATACCCTCTCGTTACATGCAGGCTACCTATCATACTCTTTATTTGTTTTTAACGGAACAATTCGCCTTCTGATGCGTCTATAGCAATTGTTGTTACGAATATGTTGTGCGTGCTGATTTCAGCATATTACATACTTGACTCTCTGAAGGCGTTTCATGTGCAAAAGTAGAGCACCCTGTTGGAGAGCAACAAAAGTGAGATTGAATGAAGCGCTCGATTCCTACTTCGTTCGTTCTCCGGCAGATTGCGCTACTTGCGCACATAAAACGCCTTCAGAGAGTCGAGTATGTAATGCGTTGAAATCAGCACGCACAACATATTCGTAACAACAATTGCTGCAGACGAAACTGAAGGCGAATCGCTTTCGCACATGAAACGCCTTCATAGAGTCGATTACGTAATGCACTGAAATCAGCACGCACAACATATTCTTAACAACAATTGCTGTAGACGCAGCAGAAGGCGAATTGCTCAGTTCCGAAAAAAAGAGTATGGTAGGTAGTCTGCATGTATCGAGAGGGTATGTATCCGATCGACACGAATCAAACGAAAAATAAAAACGAGAACCGATCAACACCGATTCAATGGACAAATAAATAAAAAAACGGATCAAAATTTGTAGAAAACTTGTATTTACTATGTTAAATTTCAAATTGATCTCGAAATTAGAACCAGGCAAGATTTTGCTTTTTCACGATTTTAAGTTAACAAGTACCGTTGACTCATCTCCTGCGAACCGTTTTTGGGTACATTTATGTCACATTTGTTTTTTACTTCAAGACCACTGTGACCTAGCGTCCATAAGAATGCTTACATATCAAAGCCCATCAGAAACTTCACATATTTCGTTCCTGAATTGACCAATTCATACGCTGTACAGACAGCACTCAGGCTGCTCCTCTGCCCCTCATCATAAAACTTCGAGCCCCACTCGTTCTAATAAACATGGGAGACCCTCACTCTATTCATGAAGTTTGATAGGCCTCGGTGTAATTAGGGAGCGAGGGATATGAAACTCCTCGGAACAATGTGTGTATGACCCCAATGAGGGACAAGAATCATGCTAGCGAATTCTACTTGCTTTACATTGTAATCGCGGTCCTTCGTTTTTAGTGTAGACTCAGCAAAACAGTCCTCGATTTGAGGACCGAGCCACACAAAAGAAACTTACTGAACCACTAAGGAGAGGGGGTCTGAGTTTTTAATGGGCGTTTAAACTGACAAACCAAATAACTGAAACATTCATTATTTTACCCGGGTGTTCATTGCTGGAGGTTCCACCGAGTGACTGATTTTCATGCAAAATTTTGGAGGATGCGCGTGGCATAATGTAAATAAATCACTCCCTATCCAGTGGCGTGGCGTAAATTTCGACATATCGATTGTTATGCCGTTTAAACCTATGGAAAAAGATCGATAAATAGGGTGTTCGCAGCGAACACCTTAATAATCGATTATTTACCATAGGTTTAAATGGCACAACAATCGATACATCGCAATTCACGCCACGCCACTGTCCCTATCCTGTGGCAGATCGTAGATCCTCCTATAGATATGTCTGACTTTTTCATCCGCTCATGCACACATGAGTTGGATTGCATTTTGCAAAAAAGAACCGAGAGCATTCCAATGTTGTTAAGATTGGGAAACTTATTTACCTTTCAAGTATAAATTGATAATCTAAACCAGTTTTATCTGTACTCCCAATAAACTATAAATTCAAGACGAAAATTTCTTTAGTAAATTCATTTTTTTGCATTAATTTAGTAAGTTTTTGCAAAGAGTGTAAGATGCACAATCCTAGCAACATAAGGGTGCTCCTGCTTCCTTTTTGCAAAATGCTATCCAGTTACAGTACTTGTGCGAGAAGATACAAAAAGTGAACCTGCCTGAAACGGGGCCTATGAGGAGATCGAATAATTTTTTTTTATTTTCTGGTTAAGAGAATGATAAACAGAATGGTAGTGTCTATTAGGCTGACTGGGTGTATAATTTCTAGGAATTCCAGTATGTCAGAGGGAATTATAATATAGCCTGCCGGCATAGTAATAAGCCAAATATATGTTTGCGTCAGAGACGAAAGACGGGTAGGCCAATTCTTCGCTTTCTCCGACGTAAAGGCGTATTCCGCGAGAGCTCTGTTTTACATATAAATCCATGCTTTTTGGAACTCGTGCGGTATTCGAAATACGGGATACTCTCTTACGTCAGAGGAGCGACAAGTTGGCGTTACCTAACTTTTCCGCGTACCACGCCGTCCGGTTCAGGGCTGAGACGTCAAAGGTGTATGTTGCGGCTTAGTCCAGGCATTAGGGGATTTTTGCTGGAAAAACGTGACTGACTACCCCACGGATGCTATTCTCCCTGTTTTTGGGTCGAACCGAATTTGAAGTTTGGTGCCTCGTAGCTATGATGCGCTTTCCGCAAAATTGAAAAAAAACGTTGCCAAATTTAAGTTTTTTCAGTTTTTGGCTTAAAACTTTTTTGTAATTCAAAAATCGAAAATCTGCTTGCACGGCATGAAAGAGCATGAAATGTCACAGAAATTGGTATATATATGTTCGATTTTAGCATCAAAATTGGACTAACTCTAACCTGGCAGGTGTGGGACGCAAAAAAGTTCAGTTACGCCAATTGATCTATGGCCTTCCTGTTCTGTGTTTCCGACGCAAACTGGTTTTCAGATTCTTCGATTTTCAGGGTAATCTAGACGGAGAGATCGGAAGGAAAAAATTGGGAAAAGCGAAAGTGACGAAGAAGTCTGGGATCGTTTTTAGAGACAGCGCAAAAAGTCGACTCAGGAACTTCTCTAAAGTCGAAGGTTTTAAAAAAAATTATTAAATGAAAAAACCATTGCGGCATTACTTTTATTTTACACTGGCCAGCAAAATTTGCTAGGAATCATAACGTTTTAATACTGAAAATGACCTTATCGTGTGGTGAATTAAAGTAATATTTCACGGAGCTTAGCTTGGACGGACCAAAAAAAATTGGACACAAAAACATTGGACAAAGATTCTTATAACCAATAGATTGGGTGACAGTTAAAACCGATCTTGGAGGCGCGTGTCCCGCCTTCTGGTCAAGTCTCGCAATGCTCACACATTATTTGGACATATATTTCTGCCAAACGGAACTATGTGCATCATGACATGAGCCCTTAGACCCATAGGAATACATGCACAATAGGGCTCACGTCGTAATGCACTTAGTTCCGTTTGGTAGAAATACGTCCATTTCATGAGCGAAGGGAGCCTCGAACCCTCTTCTTTCATAATTGAGCAAATTAGGAAATCATCTCACCGTGCCTCCATCATATCAATAACGAGGCGGCGAGGCAATTTTACACTGGACGACCATGCCGGCGCAGCGCGGCACGCAAGGGTCTATGGCAGGGACCAGAGCCGTGTCACCCATGTGGCCCGCCGGAATCCCTTGATTCACGCATATGTCCTGCCTGTATGGAAGCTTTTGATTGTAAAACTAGGAATCCATGAAATTCAGTTTGCAGCGTTAAAGATACCGTACTGTATTTTATTTTTTTGAAGGTTAGAAAGAATCATCTCTTCTCCGCCAAAGAGCCTACCAAAGAGGATTTTATTTTATTCCTTTTCTACGAACTTTGAAATTTCATCGAAAACGAAACGTTATGGTAAAAGCCCAATGTGAACATTTTAGACATTTTCAGGACGTATCTCCATTGTAGTCGTGTGAATTTTTTTAATACATTGTCTTGAAATTGAATGTTTTAGGTACCTTCGGACGACCATGTAGATGCGAGTATAACAGAATATAATGACTAGACATGGAATGACGAAACCAACGAAGAAAAGGGCTGATTTGGCCGAGCGTCCGTTGGCGTCTGGCATAATGGTGCAAGACTGCAAACGACTGTCATAAGCGTAAGTTCCTGCCGACAAAAAATGGAAATTAAATTATTTCAATAGTTAATGACAATATTTTTGTATTGTTCCATCTAATGCACCGAAATCAGAGGCGGATCCAGCAATTTGGCAACACAGGATTTCCTCCATTTAAACTTATGCTAAATAATCGATTCTTTTCGGAGCATATGGCCCCTCCAAGAATCGATACATTTCCATACGTTTAAATGGAGAGAAGACAATGTTGCCAATGTACTGGATCCGTCAATGACCGAAATAATGGAATAACGACATTTAAGCCAGACTACTCATGATCATTAGTGTCTGCTGACATCAGTTTCGTACAGATGCAGAATCTAGTTTTATTTTCAAGTTACAGAAGGATTAAACTCACCTAAGATGCCATAGAATTTGATGGAGCTTTAAGTGGTTTATAATAGTGCTATTTTTCGTAACTGTTCGCAAGCGTCATCCCTGAGTTTCCGAAACATTTACAAATTTAGAGATTTCCCAGCCATCAAACGTGGAGCCAGTGGAGCCTAACGTACCTACAGTTATAGTAAGTTAAGGGAAACCTGATATTTTTGGCCATTGAATGTGTCCCGAGAGATGATTGGTTGATTTTTCAGATTTTTTAGACACTTAAACCAAAAGCATGGACTGCGCGTTTAATCATGAAAGAGTGTGACTTACCCCATTTCCCAAGGAGGGTTGGGATTTGCATTCCAAAGCTGAAAATCCAGCAAAAAAGTATCATGGCTACAATGAATGGCGTTCGGTATATTTTCTTGTAGACCGCATAGTGTGTGATCATTATGTACCTAAATTAAATGAATACAAGAAATTAAACAAAATTAGAAATCAGGCATTGGAAAAAGCGCAATAAATTGTGCACAAATAGGGGTAGCTCTTTCAAGGAGGTGAAGAGGACGGTTCTTCCCCCCATAATGAAAAAGACAATTGAAGAGTTACACAAATAAGCTTTAGGATAGAAATATTAATGCGAGTATATAGCAAATAATATTGTGAAAATAATTTGAAAAGATATCGGTTGATGTATAGAGGTTTCTCAGACCTTCGTGAAAATATAACGACGGCGAGATCAGACCACGTATACCTCACGTATGTAGTAATTAAAAAGTTCCACTCTCATTTTATTTATTTGAAGGAGAGCAAATCAGTATCATTCCTTGAAATTTTTACAGAGTTTTCCGCGCACGGAAAAGAAAAATAACCGAAGTGTTCTAGACTTGGCGTGAGTAATTTTTCATTGAAAAAATAAAGTATGACAGAAAGTCTGCAACGTCGCAAACCGAGCTACGTGGTCCGGTAGTTCTATTGAACTCTAATCGGACCTTCATTTCGAAGCCTGTTCACGGTCTGTTTGGGTCTCAATCATAAATGAGTAGGCCCAACTAGGCAATCCCAAATAGCATTTCTCAACGGAAAGATCGATATATATATATTGCGACTTATCGGCGATGAAATCGCTAGGATCGTCAACGTTTGGGCGAGTATCCCGCGATAAAATCGCGCTTTCATCGCCCGACAATTTATCGCTAAATTTTTGAAATAAAAATCGCGATAAACGGCGATTTAATCTCGATTTTATCGACGAAAATTGATCATGATTTTATCAAACCAAATATTGCGATTTGTAGCGATTTAATCGCCGTATATCGCAATTTTTAATGCGATAGTATTGCCACCGATATAATCGCGATAAGCAACCGATAAAATTGCTATTTATCTTGATCACCGCTACTTGGGATTGAAGTTACGAGGGTGACAGAAAATAATAGCCCAAGAAATTAGAATCAGTCGGCAAAATAAGCAATAATTTATACCTATTAATGGTTATCATCGCGATGAAAAGAAGGGATACGCCGACATTGCCGTACTGCAGGAAGGGTAGGAGCTTGCAAGCAAGGCCCTCCTCTCTGAGACTTCCAGCACCGCCAGTGAATCGCACCAAGTTGAATGGTAGCACCGTAATACAAAACAGCAGATCCGCCGCACACAAACTGCATTCAAGAGAAAAAAACCACATATTTGCAAAAAAAATCATACATACTTAAGTAGGAGCAATCAACTTTTTACGTGATTTTTTTATCTGAGGAAAGGGGAACTGTACTGCCTTGCTAAGGAAATACGCCGTATGAACATTCGAGAGTTGTCAAATGTCCGTGATAAGACATGTATATTTGATAACATCCATGCGTATTTTTCCTTGGAATTTTCAGATATTTTAGAATCAATTGCGTACAAAATTGTCCGAAAATGAAGAAAAATATCCACAATTTTCCTAGACGATTCTTTTTCTATTGAAGGAAACGTGGCAACGTCTGAAGGCTCATACGGCGTTCTTCCTTAGCACGGCAATGTACGTATCAAGCCTCACCGTGCCGATTCAAATGCTCGAATCGTGAATCAATTACGTCAGTGCTGCACATGCAGAATGCACTAATGCAGTTTGAATACTCCCCGGCAATAATTTTACATTTTTCCACAGGTGTAAGGGGAATACGCAGGTCCTAGCAACTTTTTACCCCGGCGTCCGGTCAACGCTTTTAAAATTGAGGCCAGAGAAGACACGATTCGATTCAAAAATAACTACAAGATATTCCTTTTTCGCTTTGAGAGACTAGTTTTGGACTCATTGATCCAAGTTCTAAGTAACTCTCAACGAGTCAAAGGAGGAAACATCACAAAACCATCGCGCCTGAGAGGACTGAAATTTTGAAATCTTATGAGTATAAATGTGACAAGTTTTTAATTCGCTACGACTTTAAAAACCTGGATTGTTAAGAAAATGCAGCGTCGTGCAATCTTAATCTCTATTCAAATAAAACACTCCAATTTAAAATGGACCAAATTCCAAATCCTCGGATTTTAACGTCTACAGATAAGGCGTAAAATGTTCAACAAACCATACAATGAAGACTGTCGTGACGTTGTTTGCCCTTTGTGTTTTGCAGAATGCCAAAATGGTGAGAGCATTGCCGATGATCCCTGCCACCATTATGACACCAGTCACTGCAGCTGCAACATTTAGAACCGTCTTCGAAAACCTGAACAATCAGAGAACACCGCGTCATCGAGTTTAATTTGCTTATAGAGTACAGCGCAATTCAGAAAGTACCCTTTTAGAATAGGTAGCTCGAAGAGCAAGGTCTCGTCGACTGTAATATTTATGCACATAATACCAATATTTTGCCACCGGTGAACGCGCGTTGCATACTTCCTCAGATGAAGGCGAACTTAAACACCCAAGATTCTACACTCTTTTTAGTTGTATGCAACTTTCTTGGGTTTAAAAGATATCACTTATTTACAAATAGGTAATTCTTACTGATTCCAACCCTATCATCGCAATCTTGGAAACTCTAGTAATTGGTCGTGTCTTCCTCGTACTATCTTTTGGAAAAATGATGTTTCATATATTATACATTTGCTGTACTTTTATTACTTAATATGATCGGTGACATTTTAAGTAGCTTTTACTATAGGAATTAAAGCTCAAACATTTAAGATGGTCAACTTACACGATAGGTTCATCTTCAATTAAAGCGTCTTCGTGCCCGATGATCCATAATATCTCTTGGTCACTTAACACACCCATTATTTCCTAAAGGAAAACAGAAAAATAGATGATTTTATAGTGACACGTTAAAGTGAAGGTTTAAACTAACCCATATTATGTTTGAAGTCATAAATTCACAAATTCAAAGTGCACTTAATTTATGAATCTCCACAGGAAAACAAAGTTCAGTCTTAGGAACCGAATGTTCGGTGTTCCATATCACCCCATCTATTTGGTTTGTCAAATCGAATTTTCGGTTTTTTGTAAACGACAAACCGAAAAATCGGTTCATATGACTGACTTTGCTCATCATTTCACTGAACTGCCACGGTTCGTGTTGACAAATCGAATAGTCCGAGTGTTATGGAACACCGAACGCTCAGTTCATCGGACAGAACATTATTTTCAGTGGCCTTGATGCAACTATTCGTGCTTTCGGGATGTCTGTGTTGCTTACACGAAAAATTGAAGGCGCACTTCTATTTTGTTCGACAACCCTTCAGCCTGATTTGCAAGCGTAAATTCTGTCAGGTGTTGAGGAAATAAGGGGGATCCTTCAAAATTGATATAAAAACTTAACAAAATTTAAGGAAGTTATTTCTTTTGGGATAATGAGGACTGAGGTGTAAAGTATTACTTAATATCAATTAACTTTCTTAACCTGAAATTACAATTTTGACCTTAGTGACGCCCTCGTTTAATCGTAACATCTTTAGTTTATGAACAATCAAATGTGAGGGTTTGTCGTAACATCTTTAGTTTTATGAAAAATCAAATGTGAGGGTCAATTCATCTTTAGAGATGTGCTGTGCAGTAACTCAAAAATGTTGTTATTCTTAAATTTAAATTCGCTTTTCAACCTTGGTTTGAGTATTCTTTTGAAAGAAGAAAAAAAAGTGGTGCTCCTAAATTGGATTCTTACGAAAATATTTTTCTACACATTCATAATGTATCATAAAAAAGCTCTAGTCACTTGCTATGAATGACAATCGATGAAACTTTTTCTCACATCTTCTGATAACTTATCAGAGATTTGTAATTGAGGCGTCAGACGTGAATAGCATTATTTACACGACGTCAAACATCGTTCTTTCACAAATTTTATGTAAATAAATTTGTTTTGATAGTGATTCTGAACACCATCGCAGCATCGAACCAGGAATAAATTCCATGCCGTTCTCAATTTGCATTTAACAAGCAAATTTTAGACATTATGACACGTTTTCCAAAGAAAAAGAAAATAAGTATGATAGGGAACCTGCAATGTCGCAAACGAAGATACCTGATTTCGCGTTTTGGCTATCGATATACAGAAAAAAACATTAAAATTATTTAATTTAGCTTATTTATAAACATCGCTTGCATTTTTTTTATGACCCAATCATGTAGGCCCTCGTCTTCCATGCAGCTATAATACAGGGTGATCCAAAAGTCCGCCCTATCCGCCCCGGGTATCTCCCGAGTAACCTTTGAACAAATTGATACAGAGACTCGAAATTTTAAGAGTAATCCTAGGTTGAATGGAGTGACTTTTAGTATACCCCCCCCCCCCCATAAGAAAAACAAAATAAATTACGGGGATTACCCTGGCATGGGACAAAAACCCCAGGAGTTACAGGGGTGGTGCAGAACCGTTGGATCACCCTGTATGAACTTTCCTGCAGTCCCCGAGAATTTAGGCCTTATTAATTTTATTGTATGATGTATCGTAGAGCAGGGAGCGCTGAAACCGTGTGAGGGCGAGTTGGTTTGATTAGCAGACTAAGGATGATGGGCATGAAGAATGGGGGAACAGGGAAGGGGCATGGTGTCACACGCAACATCAATGCAGGTCTGTCTAATTTCTGAAGTAATGAGCCTTCATCTGGGGTGTCACTCATTCCCCGCGTAATGCAATATTTATTTTCTCTCCCTTTGAACCGTGCTCCGTCTAAAGTTCTATTTTTGCATAGGACTTGTTCACCATGCCCTTGATTTTCGCGGTAAAGAAGTTCTGCATTTTCACATCAGGAGTACTTCATTGGAACAGAGACATAGATTTTTCTTCTTTGATTATACTCTCCATTTTTTTGGCTTAATTCAGAAAAGCCTTTATATATGTTTACTTTCTGGAATGTTCGAGCTCTTGTAAGATTGTGTTAACTATGTGCAGAGATTTTAGGGCCCACCCTTTCGAAACATTCAACTTTCACTATCGAAAGAAGCAAAGATAGGGACCATGATTATCATTAAACCCCCTGCAAGAAGAAGAATTAAGAGAAAGTCATAAATTTCATTGGGATTCCCTCCAATAATATTGAAGGCCATAGTAGCCATTGCCACAATTATTAGAATGACCAACAAGCAGAAAACCGTCGATTTATCAAATTTTCTCTTATGTAAGAGAATACAAGATTTATTAGATAAGGTATTTCTTTAAGTTTTGCTTCCCCCATTTCAGTTCTTTTGAGAAGAGGACACCACCCCCACCTCCCCCTGGGTGGACTATTTCTCTATGGATTCGCCTAACCGTCATCCATTTCACTATTTGAGTATTAAATATCCTCATTAGATAAAGGAATAACGTTTTTTGAAAAATAACATTGCAGATCTATTGACTTACCGTATCATATGATCATGGACAGAAGCTGGGAACTATGGTGCTGCGGTATTAGTTGAATTGGAGGTCACAGCAAGGTGTCATTGACTACCTGGGTTTGTGAATGTTTGGTAGGTCAGAACACGGTTTCGCACAAACTCTCGCAAGAAGGCGTGAATATCGAACACGGTCTTGAACGCAAGGAACCAAGAGACTGAACCCTTCAAATGCCGGACGCTGGGACCACCTCTTGGACATAGCCAATACCATCCGGGTCCTGCCTACAACTGTTAAATGCAAAAAAAGTTTTAATAGAGACTGAGTCTTGAGGGATAAAATCTTCCTAAAAAGCTCAGAATCTGTCGAAGCTTTACACAAAATTTGATACTTTGTGGTCTCTCCTTAAAGGTATACACCAATTGATTGAATTGGACTAACTTAAACGGAATCAGCCTGACCACATTGAACGCTACCCGATTTTCTCTCCAATTTTATTTTTTTTTTCAACCAAAACTAGATCAAATAATGCCTTCAAACTTTCTGTGAATTTCCCATTAATCATAAGAATAAATTCACAAAATGTAAAGTTAGAAAAACACCCAGTATTCTATCAAAAACATAAAGCATGAGAGGTGATGATCAAAAATCTAGTCTAGTATTTTTAGGAATCAGGGGTGTATACTCCGTGTAAGTCTTTATGAGGCCTTTAAACTGCGAGCTACCACATAAATTTTCTCAAAAACATTTTATGCTACGTATTGATACGTACACACCACGTGTACAATTTCTTTGCAGTCTGTGATTACGTGTTATCTGTGTAGTGTGATAAGGAAATTTCCTATGCACCCTTTCTTCTTTTTTCCTCGCACCTTTACCTATCACAAACTCTACTGTCAATCTTCGTGGAGAATTAAACCCACAGTATTGTCAACAACTTTCTCGATTGTTATCGATGACTGGAAATTCTCGATTATTTTACCAAATTTTCAGAAATTTTACCCATTCTCTTCTCAACATGGTAAAATCAGGTGCCTGCAGATTTTAAAAAATGGCTGGTTTAATTTCCGTTGATGGATTATTACCGGGAAAATTGTTAATTTTATGGGTTTTAGAGATACGCTACATCGGAAAAACGTACAGAAAGGAGAGAATGAAACGAGGGCATGCATTTCACAGTGCAGGAGGTAAAACATTAGCCATTATTGGCTAATTTTATCTACTCGGCTTTGACCACATGAAAAAACGAGCCTCTTGAAAAGGGATTTTTTGGCCTCTTTATGGGAAACTTGAGGACATTGGCAACCTTTCGCTAAAATGATACTTTAGAATGATAATTGGACTGCATTTTGCAATTTGGAACTATAGATTCTGGCTCATCTGAAAAAAGACTTATGTGCATAGGGGAACCAATGGCACATACGTTGTTTTTAAACCGCGTCAGAATCTATAGTTCCAAATTGCAAAATGCAATCCAATTGAAAGTTTTAACCTGAGATCAACCATTGTTTTCGTGATCAAGTATAGCAAATTTCACACTTTGGCATTGAGATACATGTGTCCTGTACATGTGCCAAAAATGTGAACGTTGCATTGCTGTATCGACAAAACCAGCTTTGAACCGAAGCTAATCAGTACAGTCACTGATGTGCTTTTGATTACTCTCGGTGCAGATTGTTGCAGTCTTTCGATTTCCGATCCGAGCCTCGCGTTAAAAATGGACATCTAGAGACAATGAAAATCTGCACCAAAGGTAATAAAAATACACCGATAGTAAAAAACAACGGTGTCTTTTAGGCATAACTGCTATGAATAACAAAGGCCTCCTCACCGCAAGGGAGACCGCGATAAGCAGAAAGGAGCCAAGCCACATCATCAATTGCCAAATTTAACTGGGCAATTGTATTTTTACATGAAAATAGCTCTGCGGATTTTTTGGCAAATTTTAGTGAATTTTCCGCATAGTACGAAGCAAATTTCTTAAAATTTTCAATGGAATCTGCACAAACGCTCTCTTGTAAAATATTAAATTGCCCAGTTAAATTTGGCAATAGCTCATGTGGCTTGGCTCCTTTCTGCTAAACGCGGTCCAGGAGTCATTATAGTCTCATTCCCATAGATTCCTGGGACTGAGTGCCCAAAAAGGAGCAATTTTTGGGATGTTTGTTACAAAAGGGGGAAAAACGCAAAAGACTAACTTTTAACAGAAACTGAATATATGATCTGTCACCGTGAGATCCAGTGTTGCGGCTGTCACACTAGAACACTCGCCACGGAAGTGGCGTTGCTCGTTAGTTAAACGATTTTCGAAAGGGCTCAAGAATTACACGCAAACAGTAAGTTTCCTTAAAAAAAATTGCGATACCCCGCGATACCACACGCACTACAAGGCCATGAGCGCAAAATAGAAGGATATGGGGAAGAAAAGGACCACAACGGCGAGCTGCCGGAGGAACTTCCGATCTTCCGGCCCCAAGTCGAACATAGTGACACCAAAATTTTTCCACAAAATTAAAAAAAAAAAAAACCGAAAAGTTAAAAAAAACCGGGGGCACCGAGGAGCTATGTAAACGGCGTGGGGGTTCGGTAAAAAACGGAGCTTGGGTTGTGGGAACGGAAGTGGGAGTCGGAACGAAGTGCAAGTGAGTCGGGGTCGAAAAGAGAGCAGGGGACCCGCGTGGAGCGCTTTGCTCGCATCGAGGTCTAAGTTCACCAGATATGAGTTGACAAATGATGATAGATAAGTGTAAAGGCCCCGGCTCCCCTCGCGCTTCTCTCGCGGCCGTGTTGCCAAGCGTCCATCGTGAAAGTAAGAAAAAAATTATGCATCATGATGCCTCTTTGTTGAGGAAAAAAACCGCAGGGGTATCCGAATGCTGCCAAATTTCATCTTATGTTGTTAATTTCTTTTTTAAAATTTGATAAAAATGCTTCCTTGAGGGAAAACACTGCAGGGGTATCCGAATGCTGCCAAATTCCATCTTATGTTGCTAAAATTTTTTTAAAATTTGATGAAACTGCTTTCTTGAAGGAAAACACCGCAGAGGTGCCACTGCCGCCAAATTTCATCTTATGTTGTTACAGTTTTTAAAATTTGATGAAAATGTTCCTCTGAGCGGAAAGGTGTTGATAGGGGTCATTTTTAGGCCCATACTCTGAAAATCCGCAACTCTGCAATAGTTTCCTCATTGACGGTCCATATTTTACTGAATGCATCAGAATTTAGTCATTTTTGGTCTCTCTGGCTGCTACTAGCCTGAACATGAGCCTGGGGGCCAATTTTGCCTCCGGTTTATGCAAAATCCGGTAGAGTTTCAATGAGCGGAAAATCATAGAGTAGAGAGTTTTTCATTTTTGAGGGAAGTTTTGAATATTTGTTTGACAAATTTTCAGAAACTCTAGAAAAATTGCGAACAAAATTGTCTATAAAATTGGAAGAAAACTGTTCATAAGTTTGTGAGAAAATCCTGTTTTATCGAAGGAAATTTTGCACCGCTTGAAGATCTATATGACGCTCTTCAATAGCAGTAGCACGGCAGAATGGTTGACGATCTCCACGGTGATGACCACCGTCAGACCGTCACCGGTGACGCCGCCGATGACAGTCAAAACGCCGGGTGGTCTTCGTCATCGCATGAACGTAGTGCGTGTTGCGTGCAAAGACTTTGAGGGCGATTCCAATCCCTCCTATACTCGTGCTCGAATTGGAACATGAAACCAAACTTCTTTTACTTCTATTTTTCTTAAGAACATCTCTTTGGCATAGAATTTTGAATATTCTTGAATGTGAAAGAAAGAATACATTTAAAAAAAAAAAAAAAAAAAAAAAAAAAAAAAAAAAAAAAAAAACGAGAAATTTTGTGCAGGAATATGACTGGTCATTCTTTATGAAAGCGAAACTTCACAGAGTTTCTTCACCATCAAAATCGAGATATGTGTTTTTGAGACGTACAATCGCTATGTGACGGTAAGCGATGCGGATTATTTTATATATTTCTAAGACTTTAACGTTATAAAATGACAATTAATAGCTATTTGTAGTCTCTAGAAGATCGGTGAAAATTCATCACCTAAAGTGACTGTTGAGCGGAATAATAATTCATGTCTAGAGTAAGCCAAGTTATTATATTTCGCAATAATGCCATATTTTAGGTAACATTCAGATGCGGAATTTCCGACGCCCATACCACGCGATTGAATAAAATTGTAATTTTATATTTTACCAACATTTTGCTTTCGGGCGAGGAAGGGAAATACCCTTGTTATTGTTTGCCTCCATCGTTTCAGCTGGTTTCGGAATCGGAATATCTCACCTGTCATTTTGCGTCGAAGGACAAACTTGTATAACTGAATAGAAATCAAATTATACCATTGTAATTTTTATTTCCATTATTCTAATATTTCTCCGGCTCATATCTTCTCAACGTAGCCTTACCCTCACTCCCACACCGGCCCCTCTCCCTCCTCAGTTCGATAGAGTAAAGACTTTGCGAGGAACTTTAGAATAATCTAAACTGAATTCGATGAAATTTTGGCGCATTGGAATCAGTGGCGTGGCGTGCTTCGCGATTTATTGATTGATCTGCCATTTAAACCTATGGAAAAGGATCGATGGACAGGGTGTTCGAGGCGAACACTGTGATGATCGATTCTTTACCATAGCTGCAAATGGAGAAACATCGATAATCGATCATTCACGCCTCGCCACTGATTGGAAAGACAATGTAAAAAAATCATTTGGATCAAAAAGAACTTCTGATGAATTTTTCTAGCCTTGCCGCTCTATGTGAGATAATCACTGATTTCCCGATGTCGTGTCGCACAGAGGATTGAGTCAATAGGAGAGGTCGGACAAAATTTGAAAACTTTAAAAGCTTATAACTCCGTTTATACACAATTTTGAGGTTCTAAAAGTAGCTTTATTGGTTCCCTCGTGAAATTTTCTTATTTAATCACCCCTCAGAATTTGAATTGTGTCGAAATAAACATCGAAATTTGCAGTTTAAGACAAAAATTTCATGTCCGACCTCTCTAACTGAATCGATTCACTGCGTGTCGAGTCGTTGCTGCGTGAGTGGAGGATATCGAAAATAGCCGTCGAATAGGCGGTATTGGTATTTAGTTGACAAATCATAAAATTATTTGACAATTCATCCGCAATCGAGAGTGAAATTTGAGCAGTGCAGTTCTGATTTGGCAACCCTCCAAGTGCGCCGATATCATCAAAAATCCGCTTGCTAATTTGATAGCTGGAATAGAGCATTAAACTCATGACAATCATTGACCCTTTTTAATTCGATCAAATAGACATTCGGCTTCCTTTTAGACCTCTTTAGCTGCCAACTTGAAGGCTTGAGCGATCTGCGCTGTGAAAATATTCGCCCCTAGGCAAAGCTCTGTGAAAGCTCACGCGCAACATTCCAGTACAAGTATAAATTCATACTTCAGACACATAAGTATGACCGTATAAGACCTTATAACTAAACTGACGTTAAGGCAGGCTCTTGAAACATACGATAGTTGAGAAACAAAATCAATTTTGTCAAGAGGATTTTGGAAAATATATACATTAATAATTATTTCACTCGGCGCCAACGAATACCATTATCAGAATTTTGAATTTTCGGTCGAGTGAAAAGTTCAATGACGTGAAATATTGAAAGTTTAATAAATGATAATGATTCGCTAAAACTCGCACAGGAGAGAAGCAGTTAATTAATCCGTATTAATCGACAGAAAAAATGAATTTAAATATTTACTCGGGACATAATAATGAAGGAGTCATTTTTGAGTGTCCCTCTGCCAAATCTTATGTCTGAATACATATTTTACTACAAAGTGATGAGAATATTGTGAATTTTCGAAAAATGTCCTAAAATTTTAAAAAAATATCCATTGCTTCAAAGTGCAGGGCCATTCCCAGAAGTCTGCAGATCCCCCTCAAATTTTCATATTTTCACCCTATGTTATCTTCAAAACTGGCAAAATACTCCGGAAAACTCAATCTCTCTCTTCAAGGCTTCTGGACAAGGTCCTGAATCCTCTCTTGGCGCACATGTTGTCTGTTCTGTGACGAGAGAGATCGTCTTTTTCTTTACCGTCCTGCCGCGTGCTACAGAAACGACGAATGGACCTTTAGACGTTGCCAAATTTCCTTTGATAAAATATGAATTCTATGGGAGGATGTAAACATTTTTCTTCCAATTTCCCAGGTAATTGTGTTCGTCACCGTGTCTAAAATATCCGAAAATTTCAAAGAAATGTCTGCAAAAATTTCTTCACAATAAATTTTTTATTTGGGGGAATTTGGCAACACCCAAATGCTCATACGTGGTTTCTCCTCATCACGGCAGTATACGAAGTCCTGATCTTTCGCTTTCGATTCCTGACCTAGTCCAATGGTGCGGAGGAAGACGCGAAGGGTGGACAATTGTTGAACGGGCGGGAGGGGGGGGGGTTAACGTATTCTGTGATTATTCAGTATTGACGGTCAGGAGATTATGAGCAGAAAGTTATGAATTTCGTGCGATGAAAGGGCTTCCCCAGTCATACAATACGCTAATACACTTGTAGGAATCCTCGGAGAACGGACCATTAACTTGAGAGCTGCCGTGATCGAAGCAGCCCCTCCGTAACTACCACAATTGTACTTAGCTGTTGCAGTTCTTGAGAAGTAGGAAGTGTGCCTCTACAGGCCGAGTAATTTTGTGACTCCTTTTGTATTTAAGTATCTCGGGCCTGTTCGAATCCCACAATTTTTTATTCGTTTATATTATTCGAAAATCGATTCAAAGATTTCGATCAAGTTTGTTCAAGGAGCGAGTCTTCAAAATGAGGACCACTTTGGCAGGAATCTGGCCGGAGGGTGTGGTTTTTGCAGCAGTAATTTTTGCCTCCACAGCGGCGAACTGCCCTTCTTTCAGTAAGTTTGCGAATTCATTTATTTTTTAAGAGGAGAAAGTGTAAACAATCTTGAAACGCAAAGTCCTTGGTCATGCAGGCGCAAAATCTTATATTTTCCCAAATGTGCGCTTGAACTTCCTTTATGTGTTCATTTATTTTTTTATTCGTTAATTTAATTTGTATATATATTTTTTTAAATAAAATCTATGCATCGATGGCGAAAGTTAAAAAAAATGCTTATCTCAGATTGCGACGTTGTAAATCTCCGCTATATTTTTTACTTTTTTAAAAGAGAAAACCCAACAAAAGTTTCTATTGAAGTTTTTTGCGGATTTTCTCTTTTTGTTCTATAAAAGTTCCTCGGGATTGCGAAGAAATATTTTGATTGGTTTGACTCGAAAAAAACGAACCATAATCGCAGATTTTTGAACTACACAGTTAAAGCACGCATTTTCTGCATTTAACCATCGGTATTCTGACTTGTTTACAGTCTTTCTAAATTGCTGCCCTCTTCATTAGTCCAATAATATGCATTTAACTCTCACTTTTACAATAGGTCAACGGCATTAGACAGAGTCAGCCTACCTACATTTCACGTTGCCGCGTTGTCACGTTGTATAAACTTTTAAGAGTGACGAGAAATGCGTAACGGCGCCTCGAGGAACTGAACCGTGAAGCGGTCAGGAGGTACAGCCTTCTTCTGCAAATTGAGCCTAGAACACCAAGAACATACGCAAAAAATTTTTAGTGAGGATATTACTTGGTTTTCATATGGAAAAAATTAATTATGAGAATATAGCAATGTTTGATGTTGTTCGGTTGATTCTACTCAAAGCGAGTTGGATTAATTATATGCTAAAGGGAACTAATGTTGCGCGAAAACCCTATGCGGCCCCCTATAGTGCTTGTTTATGACATGTCCTTTTTTAAAAGCGGTCTTTCAAAATTTATTAAATACAATCAGTTCCGTGGCTCTACCCTTATCCTATCAGCGAAATATCCACCGAGCAGGCGCACACACTGCGCGAAGCGACGAGAGGAGGGAATTCCCACGCTTGATGGCGCGAAATTCGAAAAGGCACCGCAGAACGCTGCCGCGCTTAGGGAAATCGCCGAATGAGCCTCCAGGTGTTGCCAAATTTGTTTCGATAAAACGCGAATCTGCTGAAAAACTTGTGGATATTTATCTCCCAACTTTTCATAGAATTTCACTGACGATTTTATCTACAATGTTGGAAATGTTTAAGAAAAAATATTCACACTCTCTTAATAAAATTAAAATTATATCGGAGGAAATTTGGCAACTCTCGTATATTCGTACTTCCCCATCACGACGGACTGGGCATCATACCTTTAAACGCCATAAATGACTCTTTAAGGTATTGCGAAAGAAAATTGTCACGAAAGAAAGTTGTCACGTAATGAAATTGTTAACTGTTCTTACGCTGCGTTTAAGTTTTCAAAAGCTTTTCTGTTTGTTTCCCGACTCATTAGACATATAGGTGCTGGAAGAGAAAATATTTTTCACCATTGCTATTATAGTTAGCTGGACTGGACAAGTGGGGAATTGCTACCACATTAAATGGTTTACTTTTCTAGCGCTGCGTTTAAGTCTCCTAGCTATCCTGTGTGTTTCCGGACTCATTAAGGTGTTGGCAGAGAGAATATTTTTCGCCATGGCTATTATAGCAAACTAGACTGAAAGAAGAGGGAATTATCACTTCATGAAAATGGCTTACTTTAATAACGCTGTGTTTAAGTCTCCAAATTTCCTGTGTGTTTTTCGACTCATTAAAATAATCAGGAATTCCACTCGAAATGGTCCGTAATATTTTTGTATTCCCAGAGATGATGTTCAGATTGTTCAGCTGTAATCATCATCGGAGATTTCCTAAAGAGCTCTTATCATAGCTCCTAAGCATCCTTTTAAAACTGGCCTTTAGACCTGTGTGTTGTATCACTGGAAAACAGATGCAAGTTTTAGAAGTTTAGTTACAGTCTGCGAAGACATATCGTTCGTCACAGGTTCAAAGACCTTCAGCTCCAGTCTGTGAGGAGAGAAATATGATTATTTATAAAAAACCTGTTTTCTCAGAATTCTTTGATGACAATCTCAGATGATACCTTGGAAGAAATCCGTGATTCTACAAATTCACGTTCGACTTATCAATATCATGTGATAAGTATATTTGGATTACATTTTGCAATAAAGAACCACTATCTCTGGCTCTTCCATAAAACCACGTATCTGCATAGGGAAATCAATGGCATATATGTTGCCTCTAAAATGAGCCAGAATTAGTGGTTCCTTATTGCAAAATGTAATCCATTTGGCGAGCCTACAAAATAGAGAATTTTTTACTTTATATCTGTAGATTATGCGCTCTGGCTTTACAAATCTAAGAGAAAAATCAAATTTTAAAAATTTAGCTCTGATGCTAAAAAATATCTGCATCGTGCATATCCTCTTTGCAATACAAAACAATTTTTCTCCAGTGCCTCCCCCCTCCCGCCCCTTAAGAATATTTAAAGACTCATTGTCACTGGTTGTGAGAGTCTCTCTGTAAAACCATCTTATCAAATAAACACTAACACATACATAAACTCTTGACAAAATTTAAAAAACCCTTTTTCTTCGAAACCCGTGGTAATTTTTTTTACGCAGCTGGGGACTTCCCGTTCATTTGTCCTTCTCTTCCTCCATTTTTCTACACCAGCAGTGTTATCCATCTATTTAAATGACACAGAACCAAACTCGGCACCTGTTTGAATCTTCAATTTCCGAATAATTCGCGGAATTATACCAAAAAATGGTTTCTCGTTCCATCAGTAATGTTCGTGGTATAATTTGGTTCCGATGGGCAGATTATATATATACGAGTCGCTTTTATAGCGCTCTTTGGCGCTGTGCGACGCCTAATCGCCACAAAGCTCGGTCTTCCCACAGGTCATCAGGGAGTTGACAATCTCTTATCTCATTTAACACCCCCTGTCGCCAACCTCTCACTGGGCGTCCCCTACGTCTCCTCCCAGGAGGAACCCAATCAAGCATCTTTTTTGGCAGCCTCTCTTCCGTCATCCTATTGACATGACCATACCAAACAAGTTGTTTGGTCATGACGTCGAACACGATGTCATTTTCGACTTCCATTATCTGACGCACTCTATCATTACGGACCCGATCTCTCCTAGAAATTCCTGCTGACCTTCTCCAGAAATCCATCTCCGTTGCTCTTAGCATATCCTGTGTCCGTTTCTTCAGCTGCCAAACTTCACATCCGTATGTTAATATACTTTTGACTACAGCGTTGTATATCCTCCTCTTGTTATCTTTGGAAATCCGCTGATCCCAGAGGATTCCATTTAACATCGCTATAGCCTTCCTTGCTAAGGTGTTCCTTTCCCTGATAGCTTGATCCGTCCTTCCATCCTGGGTCAACCGCACTCCCAAGTACTTAAAGTGCTCGCAGCCTTTGATCTGCTGCCCATCCTCCAACTCAATGCTTTGCTGATCACCGCCAAAAGTCATCTTCTCAGATTTGGATATGCTGACTTCCAGACCCCACTTCCGATACTCTTCTACTAGCTTGCGCATCATGTATTCCGCGTCATCTTGATCTTGAGCAACCACCACCTGGTCATCAGCAAAGCACAGAGTAAACAGAGTTTCGAGATCACCCAAGGGGACACCCATACCAGAGCATTTCTTTTTCCATTCTTTTAGCACGCACTCGAGATAAATTTTAAATAATGTTGGCGACAAACAACATCCCTGTTTTAAACCCTTAGTCACATAAAATCCCGCTGACAACCCCCCATGGCACTTAACTTTGGTAAAACTCCCTTTATAAAATCGCTTAACAGCGTCAATCAACCCTCCGTTAAAATTCGATTTTTCCAAGGCCTCCCAAAGTTTCACCAACGGCACGCTGTCATACGCCTTCTGGAGATCCACAAAAATTAAATGCAGTTCCTGAGCTACGGCCATTTTCTTCTCAATGACCTGGACAATAACAAAGAGGTGATCTATCGTAGACCTGCCAGCTCTAAAAAAGCAAGATTATGCATTTTACAAATCGGTGTTATTTTCTCCTCTTATAGTTATAAATCATCATAAAATATAAATTCGTGGTTTCTGACTTTTTCCAATGTAATACCTTACTTTCAGAGTTTGAATTTTATTTATTTCACGGCAGAAAATGCACATAATTGTAACTTTAATACAACGTGTAGTCAGCGACTTGAACGCACGGGTCGGAAATATTCCGGGCAGATTCATGATTCTCCCGGGTAAGCTGACCGTTAAAATCTGAATAATGCAAAGTTATTCAGTTGTTTCCCAAGCCAAGCCGCCTGCATCACACAGGTAAACAAGTGATCGAGCTTCTACAACGTAAAAATAGCCCAGGATCACTTGAACTTTTAACAAAGATATCATGCTGCATGTGTTCTCAGACAAAAAAAATCCGATTCTGTTATTTACTTTTTGCCCATGCTTCGGGCGTACTTCGGGCATACTTTGGCTTAGCTCTTACCCAGATTGTAAATGTACCCGGATATACCGATCAAACCTTAGGCAACACTTAGTTACACTGGCTTTTGATCTATTATTGACTTCCACTTTCTCGTTTCATCATCGCCTTTCTATTTTTTAGGAGAATTCTTTTCAAAATGTAAGAAGGATTCACCAACTTTCGACGGATGCTTGGTAAACCAATTGAACAGAGTGAAGCACTGTTATTCTCACGGTACGTATCTCAAAACGGTTTATTAAATACTTTTTGAATTCTACCGTCAACGATTTTTTTGAAAATCTAGTCCGGATTTTTTACGTTTTATAATATATTAGATATCAAAATAATACACGTGGTACTATTTTCTTGTATTGGTATTAGTGCTTTTCTATTTGTTTCTTTCAGGTGATACCTCATTGGGGATTCCATCTTTTGATCCCATCAGATATGGTGACGCGATTGGAGAACCGGTGACAACAACTATGCGCTACGGCAATTTATTCGATTGCAAACTCATACTTCCAAATTTAACTGAGTGGGCATGGTCCAATTCAACTTACACTAAAGTCAAGTGAGAATTCTCTTGATCTACTCTACGATATCATCTAAATCAATAATGAGGATCAAATTTTCTGTTGAGCTTGTTTAAAGAAGAAGAGCTCTGCGTTCTCTCATTGACTAAGTTATTAGCACATATTTGTAATTACCTGACTTAATTGCAAAGTGAGTCGTAAAAGTAACTAAATTAATTTTAACATCTCATTTCAATGCTGAAAGGGAAACGCAATTTTTTCTCAATTTCCGTCATTTTTGAAATGATGAAATATCGTAATCAAAATGCAACTACGATATTTCAAATTTCTCTGACAAGTAAGAAATCTTCTATATTAGTGTGCGCAATTCAATTTAGAGGAGCAGGTTTGTCCTTAAAATTCGATTTTTGAAACAAATAGTGATGCAGTCAGCAATAAAAAGTGTCACTTCTCTTGGGGATCGTAAATTTTTGACTCTTTACACTAATCAGTTTCAAATTCACCCTCCAGGAAGTTTACAACAAAAAACTCCGTACCACTTTCACGAATTCATGAAAGGTTTAAAAAGACACCAAAATACTGGAAAGAATATTGAAGATAAATTCTTTTTCAAACCAACTAGACTTTCCAATTATTAGATCTTTGCATAGATTGGCTCACATAACGAATTCGACGTGAAAACACAGTTGAATCTTCAGATTTAGATCCGATTTCAGAATAAATAGAGCAGTATAAATCTTTATTGATTCATGCTCATTCCTCACAAATAATCGTAATGTACGTATATTAGGATTTCATTTATTAGCTCCCGAAACATGGAAACTGGCAGGCAGAGTAGGGAGGAACCGATTAATCTTCGGATTTTCTCAATTATTTTTCAAAGCTGCTAAATCTTGCTCTTTAATAAACTTTGCTAAAAGAAAAGAAATTGGTCGTTCTGCTTGCGTCACATGCAAAATTCTTGGTAATAAATCAGTCGACTCGTTTAGAAAGTATCATCGAATGTTTTTGTTCATGTAGGACCGATTTCAAACGTAAAATGGTGCAAATTTACCAGACCGTACCGCTGAAGCATGTGAAATCCGACGTTATTGGTAGTGGTGAGATCTTGGGCGTCCCTTTCTTCCACAGGAAGGGAGAAGCTGTTCTCAATATGAGTAAGTGATATTTTAAGGATTCTGCATAAATTATGCCTGTGAAACGATCACGGGACCACTCTCATAAATTATTTTTTCGGTGTCTTGTCTGATAGATACGTCGCAGGCAATTATAATTGCCTGCGATCAGCAAAGCCTTGCTATAGCAATCGCCGGCAATTTGTAAGCAGTTCACATGTTGTTTCAATAACTCGCAATGATGCGCATCGACGTAATAAAATGTTTAAGAATTATGGTCTTCAAAAGCATCAGCTCACCTTGGAGCGCCTTCATCTTTTGCGATACTCTACGCTTTAACTAAGTTAGTTTAGTTGCCTATCCGATCTCAACCCAACTAATGTCACGGGATTCACTGCACGCTCTTCTGAGAGTGCCTATTTCTACTACATTTTTACGGTAGGAAAATTGCGTATTCACATTATAGACAAAATAATCAGCACTCTACTCTTATTATTTTGTTTTTGAATTTTATGATTTTCTACACTTATTTACCACTGGCTTGCAAATTGCCTGCGACCGATATTTGATTAATTAAACCATTTTGGCGATATTTAGTTACGCCATTCGGAATTTCAAGTTTATGGAGACAAACATTCTGAAAAATAAAGCTTCAGTTAAGAATCAAATTAAAAAAGTCATATACTCGTATGAGGCCGTAGTCAATAACACTTTCTGAAAAATGTTCAATTTTAAAATGTGAAAATTTGAAATCGACCAAGATATTTTGTTCTGAGTATATTCGAGCAACATATATAAACTTAACGAAATAATCAAGTTTGTCTTTTCTTTCTTTTTTTTCAAATATCAGTTGGAGTGAAGCAAAAGTTCACGATCCAAATGCAACCAAACGGGCAACTTAAGGTGAATTTGGCCATTCTTAGTTTCAACGATATGGCTTTGGCATCTCGAGGTCTCCTTCACGACGAATTCGTAGGTAAGTGTACTGTGCTTGTATGAGCATGTCTTCGTCATTCAATACTAATTTTTCTAGTTTCCCTAAGCTCTTCCAGACTTCCAAATTTTTCTTGTGCATTTTTGTTGCAAAATGTTTCTACGGATCTGGGTGTTTTCCTTGGAAATTTTAAAACCACCAAATGCGACAAAAAAAAAAAAAAAAAAAAAAAAAAAAAAAATCTTCTCTCGAAAAACGACACTTGTTTGCCAATGCCGAGATTTTACTCTTACATGATTTACATATTTGGATTTTTGTTCATAGTGTTTCACTTCCAGCATTTAGAATCACACAGAACATGGTGTTCATATTTTTCATACTTGTTTCAGAAAAAGTAATCAACAATTTGATGAGACGCTTTTGGAGACTAGGATATCCTTTCTTCCAAGGCTTCGCGTATGAAATATCAGACAAAGCTAAGACCATGCTGTTCAACCAACTCTTCAAACAAATAGACTGGGAATCCCTCTTCGGACAATCTTTTCCAGGGGCTCCTACTCATATCAGGCGATAGATTTATTTTGTATAACTTCCTTACTTTCTCACTAATTAGATAGGAGGATACTGTGGTCTAAATTTCATTGTAAATATGTAATTACTGCTAGTTAAGCTTCAAACGCGATTTTTTTTTTAAATTTCTTGACCTACAACATATTTAAGTTACATTTCTCACACATCATCATCATTCAACGTGGTTGTATGAATTTCACTCCATGGTTTTTTTTATTTTTTTATGCGTGCGCGTCAAAAATTACCGACGTTTTTGCTCACCTCAAATTAATATTATTTTAGTGGCTTATCATTTATATAATTGTGTACGAGTTCCTTGTTGACAATCATTTTGTCATTTCAGTGATCATTATTAAGTAAAATTTTGTATAAAAAATATAAGTATAATAAACAGACTTTAATTATCCTACACTTTCTATTTTTTGGATATAGATTTTCAACAACTGAGTACACATACAACGCAACGAGAGTATGAGATGCGCCGTGCTAAGATAATTGTAGCGCCTTGACGCAACTATTCGTGCTCAAATGATGTGCGTGATGCATACCCAAAAAGTGAAGGCACTCGGCTGGCTTTTCTTCGCAGCCAAACAGATGTGCTCTGTGCCATTGTCTGAGAGTGCCAAAGTTCTCTCTCGGCCTTTCACTATTTCTCTTAGCATTTTTTCGTAGTCATCGGTGAATACAGGATTACAGAGTAATATAGTGAGATGCACCACAAATAATAAATAAAAATTGTATCTATTAAAAGAATTCAAAATGAAAAAGTAACCAGACATTGGTTTTACTTTTAACAATGATAGATAAAAAAAAATATTATAATGTGTGTCTATCAACTTGCAGTCGACTCATCTGATACAGTTACAATAATCTAATAATTCTGAAAATGTGCACATAATTTGTACACGTATCCAAATCAACATTCACAAAAACGTTAAACATAATAAAACAAATTTCCCTCCTTTTTTCACTGGAATTTAACATATACATTAGCATATATGACATATCATAAATATCACTGGAAAATATCAAGAAAGTATAACAGAGAAAAACATGCTGTTACCAACAATAAAATCGAAAACGCATGTTGTAATTCTGTAGTTCACAGTGAATAGTATTAGCACTTATAGAGTGAACCCTCTCTTAATAATGTAAAAAATAAAACTTCATCAAAAGATAACTTTGATATTTGTTACACCCTCGCGATGTAAATAGAAAATGTAAATAGATCTATGAGATGTAAATAATTCTGCCTAAAACCGGGCTCTGGCTAATCCTATAATCAAGCAAAGCGTAATTCAATAATCAAAATTCCACTTACTGACACGCTCTCTTTTGTTTATCCACTAATATTATTGGACCGCTTTTTGCAAGAGGGAACCAAGAGTTCTGAAATGTTGCTGAGATTGTGAAATTTAAATTTCATTAAAGATTTAACGAAAAGTAGGTGAAAAAATCAAATCCACCGGGCGATTTTTTTGAATGTGCAGATAGGATAGAAAAACAATTTAATTTTCTTTTTAATCGCAAAGTATAAGCAATTGCACAACTTCGAATAGCATTGCATTCTCCTGCTTCCATTATTTGTAAAATGAGGTTTAGACTATGCATGCACTGCAAAGCATTTTATTTTTTTTTCACTCTCCTCTTTCGTATTAAAATCACACTTAACATGGCTGAATCGGTGTTCCCCATAAGATGCAAGCACAATTGAGGGGCTTGGCGAAAAAGGCGCATAAGTGCAGTATTTGATACTTCGGGAAATACGCGTTTGAAGTTTCGAAATTACATGGATTCTTATGGCGGAAAGAAAGTTCAAACTGACTTTTTGATGCTTAAAAATTGGAATTCGGGAACAAGTTTTTCACAAAGTATGCATTTAGACTAGTGCTACTTGAAAGCGTTAATATCTCGATTTTTTTCAAAAACTGCACTTATGCGCCTCGTTCTCCAAGCCTCTCAATCGGACTTTATTTTGCAATTAGGAACTACAATCTCGGGCTCAGTGTAAAGACAACGTATGTGCCATTAGTATACCTATGCACGTAACTGTTTTTACCAATGAGTCAGAAAGTGTAGTCCCTATTTGCAAAATGTAGCCCAATTTAATATTTAGCGTCTTCTGTCCTACGTTATCGTCCGTCATGAGGCGAGTGAACTGCGACTGTGAATTCTTTTGGGAAGTCCGTGTCGACGGCACCAGATGTGTCCAAGCTGGAAGTGGGAATAACCGTCGTTTTATACGGAGAAGCTGTTCGATTGGTGATCAGCTCTTCCTCGGCATCGGCATCTTCCAAAAAGGCTGGAAAACAAAGGAAGACATACCGTGTCCATCAACTGAGAAATGTAAAAGGTGCTCAGTGGAAATGTTCAGTAGAAAATGTCCAATTACAAAAATGTCCAAAAAAATGTCCACGGTTAAAAAAGTCCATAAGAAATTATTGTCCTGACTGAAAAATACCCTGCAAAAAAAATGCTTTAAGAGAAAATGTGTCCGTTTCGTTACAAGGAAATGTAAATTCGGAACTTCCACCTAATCATTTCTTGAATTTTTTCGGTCAGGTCACAAAATTCTTTCATATTATCTAATATTTTTTTTTTTACTTTTTTGGACAATTAGTAGACATTTTATAAGTAAAACAAATTAAAAATTGATTTTCTCAATTGGACATTGCTGTTTATGGAAATTTTGCGTTCGACAAACTATGTTTCAGCATTTCGTTGTAAACTTTTTTGGTAATTGGAAATTTCATATTGGAAATTTTGTATTGGACATTTCCACCTATCACCATTTAAAATAAAGTATCTGATAAATGTCCCTTTTATTGTGCTGCTCAAAATTGTCCAATTCATCGCCTCTCTGACGTAAGGGCTTAACCCAATTTCCATGTAAGCCCTGTTTTACGTATAACTCCATGCTTTCTGGGGCTCAGAGATCGAGATATGCCCTTACGCCAGAGACGCGACGAATTGAGGGCTTTGGAGGACGAGGCGCATTAGTTCATTTTGTTGCTATTTCAAGAAATACGCGTTTAAAGTTTCAAAATTATATGGAGCCGCACGGTGGAAAGGAAGTTTGAACTCACTTTTTGATGCAGTGAAGTTGGATTTTAGCTGTGAATTTTTCTCAGAATATACTTTCAAATTAGTTTTAGTTGAGTTCAAGTGTGTATACATTTTTTTCAAAAACTGCTCTCATGCGTATCGTCCTCTAAGCCCCTCAACTACTGCCCATTCATCGAATGCACATAATTAATAATTGAAAATCGGCAGACTTACTGTATGTACATGATAGTAGGCCGTTATATTAACAATACGTAGTGTAAGAGACTAAATAGATGGTCTAAGTGCGAAATCACGTATCTCCGTTTGCGACATTGTAGACTTCCGGTCATGCATTATTTTTTCATTGAAAAATCACCAACTTAGTTTCTTGAAAACTTCCTTGGTTTTTCTGCACTGTCAGCAGAACATCTCGAAGAAATTCAACCTATATTTTTGACTTGTTTCTCTCCGGAACGGAACGGAAATTCTGAAACGCCGTAATGAAGATACGTGGTTTTGCACTTTGGCAATTGATAATAGATACGCACCGATTGGGCACGTACCATTTTCATTCATGGTTAATCTTGGTTTAGGTATGCAGACAATGAAAGTTACAAAACATGTAACTTAATTTGCGGCGTTGCAGATTTCTCATCATTTAATATTATTTCAGAGTTCAACCGACGGAAATATGTCTTACAATTTTCATTGATTTTCCTTCATGCAAAGAAAAAGTATTTTGTGAACATTTTAAACAATATTGGGCTTTTGATTTTTCTATGAAAGAATTAAACAACAACAGAGATTTTGTAACACCACAGTCTAGATGCGAGCTTTAAGACTTTTCCTATGGTTATGCACAAGAACCCCCGCAACATCTACGTAAGAAACCTTAGATCTTCAAGCGCCTTCAAATTTGACCAATGCAACATATAAGACACAATGATAAAATACACATATTTTCAGAACTGAAGGCGCTTTGAGCAGCCTTAACTTACATTCAAGTGACAAAGTTTCGAAAAGTTTCCGACTGCGTGAGTGGAGTATTAATTGAGTATTATTACACAAATGAGAAAAATAATTGACGATGCTTTTTTTTAAAGTGTCGCATATATCATCTGTGCTTCTCGGCGGTGTAAGTCTGCAATGACATATCTCGATTTGCGACTTCGGAGACTTCCTGTCACACTGTATTTTTTAAAAGACAAATTACTCAATTGGAATTCTCAAAAACTGCCGTGATTTCTCCTCTCTGCATAAAGAAAATTCTGCGAAAACTTTAAGGAATGGTGTCGATTTGTTCTTCTTTTAAAACATACAAAACAATAGAAGCGGACATTTTCGAACACCGCGAAAGAGATACGTGATTGCGGACTTACACTGTCCATATTGTGTTACATCAGTTCTAAACACCATTTTAAAACACTTCACCTCTAAATCTGGGTCCGCTGTTTCTTTTCATCGTGTGGATAATGTAGCCTAGAGCCGCCAGAATGATCAGCACACTTAATACTATGATGACGCGGAACACATTTGTCTGCAAAGGGAAAATAAAGTTTTCAAATACCTATTCATCAAAACCAAAAATTATTTCATTCTAAAAGTAAAGTATACCTCATATCGTCCATCTCAGATAACTCAATTAAAGTATTTTGTTAGTAGTCTGCCCCGTCAATTTCTTACGCTTTACCAACATTGAGTCACCAAAGAAAGCAATCAGATATGGGCTGATTAGGGAAAGTATGTTGATAAATTTTCAAGAATTCATATTCAACCCACCTTGTGTGACCGATAAGCGTGTAATAATATGTTCGTGGAGCGTACTCCTTTTCCCGTCCCTGGCTCGGGGGACGGTAAAGTCGTCGCAAAACTAAATGACTTCGCGCAATTAATTATTCTTACTTCTGCTCGGTTTTAATGATAATTAAAAGGCATTTATTACAACAATTCAGAAACTCGGACGATGTTAAATTTTTCACCGATTTAAAAATAACGGATTAAAACGAACCGATTTGGTTTTGATGAATATTTTAATATTCATCAAAACCAAAAATTATTTCATTCTAAAAGTAAAGTATACCTCATATCGTCATTTTTGAGGGAAAAATAAAACTAACACTGATAGGAGGTAAAAATAGGGCTGCGAAGCGGCCCATTGATGGCGCGGAGCGCCTTCAGGGGGTTGGACCGCGTAACGGTCAGGGGGCATAGCCCCCTAGTATTTGACTATTTGCCTAGGCATTTGACAAAATGCCTAATTTTACTATTTGCCTGCGACATATCGATTGCAGTGTTTGAAAATTTCTTTCCTCCCCCCCTCCCCTTGGCACCAAGTTTTACGAAAATCTGACGAGCAGAAACCGA